ATCTGTGTTACGTTCGCGGGTTACGGTATCGTTCGCTCAACGTTTACGGCGAATTTTTCGAGGTCTTGGGTTTACATATTACATAAAATCTTATAAAAGACTCAACGACAAATTGAACATGTGATCCAATAAGTTATCTGATCTCGTGATAATGATCGCCTTGTCGTCGACTCAATGCTGGTTACTATTTAAAATTCTTTATAAAGTTCTAATGCTAGCCTCTTTTTTTTTTTTTTTGAAGGTACTCTCGTTGCAAGATTCGTTTGGTTTGTTTGGCCCGTTGTGTCATCATAATGAATGCACAGTTTAGTTCAATCCACTACTGGATTGAAAGTTACGGAATTTCAAGAAATTCTATAAGAACGAACTAAGGGTGGTGAGGGCTTAAAGAAAACCATTATCGTTATGACTATTCAATTTTACGATAGGCACGTGACTTTTATCTATTAAAATGATGATTGATATGTAAAAGCACATTTTCCAGAACTTATTAGAGGCATCATGCTATCGTGTTAACCTGTGTCATTATGCACCTGCTCTTTAACAATCACGATACTGATTTGGTTAGGTACTTCCAAAAAGGGTAAAATCAAATTTCATCACAACAGGTTTACCGAATGATCTGATTGGCGAAATTTTTTTTTTTTTTTTTTTTCGATCTTGGCTTGTCATTTTAGTCAAAAAACTTTTTTTTTTTTTTATTGATTAAACTTCATCAGCAAGTTGTTTTAAGCATCAGACCGAATTTTCCCGTGAGATTTGCAGTATCGTTGTTCCTGCCTTGCTCTTGAAGTTCAATACGTACTTTGAGGTGGTATGCCATGTATAGTTTTTTTTTTTTTTTTTGCTGGTTGGTTACTTGCTACTTCAATCTCATCTCGATAAACTTTAGTCGGTGCAAATGATGCATCGGAATCTCCTATCTCTGTAGACTATTAATAATGAATTCTTGCCATACTTTTCAACTTCAGTCTCACCACAGTTACAATTGATCTTTTTTTTTTTTTTTTTTGCAAGAACATTCTGAACTATTGAACTGACTAATCCCCTGAAATTAGAATCTGAATCGTAATTTTGCTTCAACAGTTTTCCATTATACAAATTCTACGATTTCACAAAGAACATATTTTGACTCGACTTTTAAATACAATTTATGTTATTGGTGGTTATTTGAATAATGTTTCCTAAAAGCTGATAACTCTTGACTTTTAATGTGAAAAAGGGTGCCATATACGAAAGGGCCAGGCCCAAGTCGGGCAGCGAAGGAAAAATGCACTGCAGATCACAATCACCTTAAATACCATTTCAAGTTACACCGATCAAATGGGATGATCCTCGCGATAATAACCCTAGCATGACTATCGTCATGCCTTGGGTCATATAGTGCTGTCCTATGATAGTAAATCATTTAGTATCTAACACCCCAATCCATCATATATAGTAATAAAAATTTTAAAATGCTCTAGATAATTGGATAATTATTTCTGAATCTGGACCAATTTTATATATATGACGCGATAGTATTTTGGTCTGGATTCAGAAATAATCACTCAATTATTCTGTTAAAATTAGGGATCCGCTTTAACGGGACCCGTTATAACAAGGGTAGAATGTAATAGATTTTATAGACGTAATTTAGAATAATTAATTTTTAACTACAATATATTTTTTAATATTTATTAATATTTATTGATATTTATTGATTTGTTTAAAAATACTAAAATTACACAATTCAAAAAAAAGGATAAAAGGAATTTTATTATTTAAAATTACAAGTCGACAATTGGCTTTATTTCATGAAGCGTAACGATTATACTTCTAAATCCTATTAGTATATTACAAAGGACTTTAACATTTTATGGTGAATACAATTGAAACGGTATTAATGTATATATTATTCGCTTTATAAATGATCAAGGTGACAAAAAGTCACAAATAATTTTTTAGTAGTAAAATATATATAAAATGGTCATAAGGACTATGAACATAAAAGGTCAAGTAAATTAAAGAAACATTATTTTGAATGAATTTCTTAAAGTTTTTTTAATATATTAAAATACATTAAAAAACCTAATATTAGTCGAACATATACAATAGTGTACATTAATAAATATTAATACAATATTTAATACAGTAAAATAAATATCAAATTAAATAAAAGAGTAACGCGTAAAGATAGTATATCTCTAAGACGTTATTGTGGTAGTATTTATAATATTAATTTACAAGGCGATGCTAAATACTATAAAGTAACCTTTCAAGAACGAAAAGAAATTTAATGTTTAGCGGTACAGTGGGTAGTGGTTGTAGGAGGAGGAGTTGTGGTGGTGTGAGGAATGTGAATGTGATCATGATCATGATCATGATCATGATCGAGATAGTGCTTGTGATCATGATCATGATCGAGATAGTGCTTGTGATAGAGATAATGTTTATCATCTTCATTCTCAAGTTTCTTAGTACAAGTAGTAGTAGCAGTAGTACTAGTAGTAGCAGTAGATTGCTTTGTGACAAGTATGTGATGAGGATGATGATGAGGATGGAAACGATAATATTTCTCATCTTCAAGTTTCTTAGTACAAGTAGTTGTAGTAATAGTTGTAGTAATTTTCTTTCCGGCTTCATTCTCAACAACCTTGTATACAACATAATATTTGCG